TTCGATGAAGTATTAGCATGCGATGGTGCTTTGTTAATCTTAAAATATCTTCATCAACGAAAGGTTTAATAAACAATAATGCAGCAATGATTCCAGCAATAAAAAGTATGAATTTAATGAGCATTGTGAAGACTGTATATGTAAGTAGTCAGTGATAATGAAATCAATATAGTAAATGTATGAAAACAAGCATTCATTTTTCTTTATTTTTATACTCAAATATGGGTGTTAGGACATGATTGATCAAATTATATGCGTAATAGTGATACAAATAATAGGCCACATTGGTTATTATGTCCCATCGATATTGCGAAAAAAGAAAAAGGAGAGCAAGAAAACCTTTTGGGTGGTTCAAATAGTGTATGCAGAATTTTTTCAAATTAGGGTGTGCCGCACTTTTTTTAAGTTTAACAATCTCGTTTTTAACAAAAAATACAATTTTTGCCGAAGAAAAACTGAAAATTTTCTGGAATCAGACGGTTCACAGCATCTGCATGGCTGCTTCTGTTATTTATGAAACTTCTTTTTCTTATATGGCATTTATTAATCGACCAAAAATAGCCTTCAAAATATCATTTTCAAACTAATTATCTATTTTATTTAATTAAGCAACAATTCCTACAACTTTAGAATATTCAACGTAAAAAAAAACCTTGATTGTTTTTTCATGTTCGTAAATTACTATGTTTAGCAAGCAATGCCTATTCAAGCATTTTGTCACCTATATTCTCTCGATAAATATAGGTAAATACAATGATTCGAGTAAATAAAGAAGCATTCGATCATAATTTTATATGATTCGATTCATCACAATCAAAACATATTAGCATATACATAGACACAACCTACAAGTTGATCAGCGATATAAACCATGTGCTAGTAATTTGCTTTCTTTCTTCTTGTTTTGAATTATACAATAAGAAGAAATAGTCTCTTGGCCTAAAAACAAATGAGATAAATTCTAATAACGATGCATGATGTCAATGATATTTTTAGAGCAATATCAAAATACTTAGATGCCATAAAATATCAAAATACATGACACTTGTTTTTAGCAATCTATACAAAAGTAATTGCATCTAATCATTATACACGTATTCACTAGTAATACAAGAGGACAATAATCAATAGAGACATCATGACCTTCAACAGAATAAAAAAAAAAGATATCATATTGAAAAAAGAAAAGAAGAGATGTGAAGTATAACGTTCAATAACCGTTAGAATTCTCAAATGAGAACAAGTTGTATTCTTGCAGAGGAATGGATAATTTACAAACATTACTAAATTGTAAATAAATTAATTAATCATTTGTGAATAGAATATAAATAAATTCATTCTATGATGGATTTATTTTTTAATGTTTCTTTATTTTGCATCTAATGATATAATAACTAAGAACGAAAGATTTCTTCTATAATTAATATTAAACCTAGTGCTGTTTTCTACTGACGAGAATATTAAATTCAAATTTGATTTTTTTTTGGATATCATATACTTCGTCATCATACTCGTTGTTTAATATAAAAGACTCAGCTATGAATGTTTTTGTTCTTCTTTTGATGGCAGCCTACAGGTTAAATAGGTGAGAAGTTTTTTTCATAGTCTTGATAAAGAATAATTCATCAAAATATTCATAAATTACTGAAGAATGTTAATGAAAACTCAAAACTCTGTTTGAATGAATGTATCTAAAGAATTCTTGTTTTACATGTAGATAGTGCATGATATTTTTATTTCGATTTTTCAAATTTTTCTTTAGCAGTGCAATATGAGCTTTATTCAGACTTTTTGTTACTTTTGTAACGCCAAGCGCATTTATTTTATCACGACATATAAGTAAACTTATTTTTCTAAGAGTAATAACAGTTTTATTTCGTGTTGCAGTTTTGTTTATGTTAACTGTATCACAAAACTCAATCAGAGAATGAACTATCTGAAATAAAGTACATGTGATGCAATGTATTTGATCGAAATAAAGTATAGAAATGGAACACACTTGTTTTAATACAATGATAGATAAATGAAAGTCATTAATCATCAGTATCATCTGTACTGTAGTTGTTAGAATCATCATCATTTACTTTTTTCGATTTCTCTTCAACACAAATATTAGCTTTTTCAAATGTTGTCTCATATTGTTTGACATGACTGATATGACTGGTTGCTTCTGTCATACGTAAATTATAAATCCATTCTTGCACCAATTCGTTTACTTCAGTTGAAGTAAATTTCATGTTTCTATCACGCATATGTGCCATATTGGCTCAGACTAACTGTTATAGGATTTAGGGTACAGTGTCTCATAGGTGAAAGAATGTGGGTTTGATGATGGCTGAAGAAAAACCCAATATCCATAGCTACACAACAACATCAAAAGTAAGGTTTTTGATGACGATTTCAATAAAAAAAATCTCGAAAGTAAACAAAGCTTCTCACAAAGTCGAAGGTGACTAAAAACTTATAGAAGAAAATATTTTTTTAGCTGTTTTGGTTTTGCAAAAAAATTAGTGAGTAGTCTTCAGTAAAATCTTCATATATTTTGAATGCAAATAATGATTCTCTGAACTTTGGTAGAAAGAAAAATGTCGAAAGGAACAATGTCGAAATGTGAAAAACCGAAATGTCAAAATCTAAAAAAAAATTGTTCAAAGATATGCTTTCCACGTATTATCCATAAAGATGCCATCGCAAGTTGATTTTAATTGCATTGTATTCGGTTAAACGAATATAATGCTCTTCGCCGAAAAGGATTTCATTGACAGACTTGCGGGACGCTTTAGACTGTTGCGAGAGCTTTAGCGAAGAACAAATGATGCACCAAAAATTTTAGTTAAATTGTTCAATTGCCTTATGGAGAATTTTTTGCTTGTCTTTGATCCATTTCTTATTTAATAATAAAATTCATTTACATTTAACTGTTGCTTATTTTATATGCTTAGTAAAAAATCTAAATCTATTTTGATATTTTTTGTCCTCCAATATTTTGCCTCTCGACGTTTTTACTTTCGACCAAAGTTCTGATTATCCAAATAGTTATCAACTTCGACTTTGCGTCGATTAATAAAGAAAATGATGGGCTACCAGCTCATTATATTACAGTTGGGAAAGTATATCGTTTTCAAAGTGAATTAAGCTCATCTTCGAAATTCATCATGTATTACCAGGAGAAAAGCGACTGATATTTTTTTTATTGACTTTCTAAAAGATAAAGCAATGTCGACTTCAGATAGTACAAAAAAATTCGAGTTACTTCTCTTTTTCTTTTTGTTCTAAATCTATTCAACAAATAGCCATGATCTTTTCACTGAGAAATGAACATTAGTTTCTAGACATCTTTTAGATATGAGAAAATGATATTCATTGATAAACGTTATTGCACGATTTTCTCCACTGTTTCATCTTTTTTCTTTCATTTTTTTGAGAATAGAAATAGTTTTTTTGCTGAAGTCAACTATTTTTAAAATAGAATGCATGAAAATTTCTACATTAATTAACTATTGATTATTTTTATTAATATGCCATGTTATAGAAAAGAAAAATTCTAATTTTTATTTTCACTCAGTATAATGATAGATTAGTTAAAAAAGAAATAAATCACATTGATAGTAAATATTTATCTTGATTTTATCTTCATTCTGTAATGACAAGGTTTGTTAATTGATCGTGACGTTTACGATAAAGGCAACATCCTACTGCGCATGCTTCACATAGATCGACAAGATGATCTCTATTAGTCAGTTGTCCTCGATAGCCATTATGAGAAAAATGAAGACCATAAAACTTGTTAGCAATCCAGCGGTGTAACCATGTTACAAGATGTTGAGATCGTTCATTAGTAAGTTCGCCTGTCATATATTCATGACACTCCTTACATCCTTGTGCAAAGATTTTCATTTGAATCCATCCACCAATCCATACTTGTCCATATTCATCTGTATCTGGTCCATAGTATGCTCGAAACAAAATAGTAGTGTAAGCTGAAGACCATATAGCATTTTTTTCTGCAACATCGCTCTTAATGCATTTTACGCAACGAAATCTATGAAATAAGTAAAAAATTTATTTCGACTCTTACGACAAGACAATTTACCTTCCCTTTGTATTGTAAGTTTCATAGAACCATTTACCTACTATTTTATTCTTATCCAATCGAAGTCGGTTCGTATTAACGTTTCTTGGCATTCGTTCTAAGGTCCATTCAGGAAAAATTGGATCGATGGTATTAAACTCTTTATAGAACAGTGGTTCAATGATTTGAAAATTTGTTAGATTTTGCTGTGATACTGGTTTATTAGTTGCCATAAGAAATAAATTGACGCGTGATTTCAACCATACGTAATAAGTGTTTTTAGAAGATATATATATGTTGTGGTCAAAATTAAAATTCAGTCAAATTTAAAATTTGCCTAGTCAAAATTGAAATTTTAATTTCGTCTAGTCAAAATTGAAATTTTAATTTCGTCTAGGCAAAATTAAAATTCTAATTTTGTCCAATATGATCTCAGTCAAAATTAAAATTTGAATTTTGACCAGACAAAATTAAAATGTGTTTCTCATGAATAGGAAGTCTTATAGAAAGAAAAACAATTAAGATAGAACAAATCTCTTTTATTTTGCAATTAGTGGCATAACAAAGATTTTGTATATGTAAACGCTGGATCTTAGCATAGAGCATGGGATTCAGATGAAGCTTCTGGAGAATGACATTGGGTCCAAATGATCATTTTTTATCAAAAAGTTTTCCTGATCAAAGTTTGCGGAAAAAAGTTTTCTCCTATTCCTCATCAACATTTTTTCCTCTCAAAACGCTATAGCGGGATTTATTCTTTCAGAATTTATTCCCCCTATGGCTTTTATTAATTATGATAATATCTCAGCACACCCACACTCAAACCTGTGCCCTCATCCACACTCAGACCTTCCCCTGCATCCTACATCCTCACTCTCACCTTGTATGTATTAAGGAATAGCGTGGGATTTATCTCAAAATGCTTAACGATTTATTGAAAAGTCCGAATAATCTCCAAAAAAAATAAGTCCCGGTAGCTGCTGGAAGATTTTGATAATACTTTAAAAATTTTGAAAAATTCGTGAATTGTCCCAATGTTTTCGACCTTGCGATTCCCCTAGCTACATCAAATTTGATCTAAAAATGCGCATCCTCTCAGGAATTATAACGTTTTGAATTTTTGCTACATGTTGCAGCTGAGATCCAACATATACAAAAATCCTGCTTACACCACTATTTGTTATCCTTGGTTATCAAAGTTTTATCGTTTTATGTACCTCAGAAATATTTTAATTTTGTCTAGTCAAAATTAGAATTTTAATTTTGCCTAGACGAAATTAAAATTTCAATTTTGACTGAATTTTAATTTTGACCACAACATATATATAAACTCTTCTATAGTTAAAATATAGTTTGACTCATGAGTTTGCTTTCTTGAAATTTCGCGGATAAACAATGATGACACAAGTATTCAACAAACGTTCGTTCTATTATCTACCTTTTGCTATTTCAAAACATTATAGCAAAGTTGCTGATATATAAGTTCTGGTTTATTTTTGTAAGACGAAAAAATATTTTAATTATGTTGTGAAAGAAAATTTTTCTTCACATCGCACTTCATAAAAGAAGAGAATTTTCGTCGTGAGTTATGCATCAAAAGAAAAAATTGATATGGTTTTCTCTGTTAATGCGAATCATATTATTATTTGTCGTATGATTTCAACCAAACTTGATGTGAATATTTTATCTTAAACAAGATTTCTACATTATCATTAGACTCAAAAATTAAAAAAGCCGTTTTTAACTAGAGAATGATTTAAGTTTTGAGTACATTGTTATTACTAGTAACAATTCTTCAAAGAAATTCTTTATACTATTGTACAATTTAAAATACATTATAGTGAAGTTTTATCGCTGAAAAGATTGCATCGGTTTACTTTTGATTGAACGAATGTTTTACGTCCGAAAAAAGTTTCTAATCGGATTGACACTCAGAAGAACGCGCCTGGATAAAGCAGTATAGATACGCATCATTGATTCTATTAGATTCGCACTTACATACATGAAAGTCTTTATATATAAACATTTAATAATTGTGCGTACGAAAACATAAGAATATTTCTGCAAAAATATCACGCTTATTCATTCAAAACACTATTAGAATGATAAAAATACGAAGCACGAGTAGCAAGCATTTGTGAAGAGATGCACGAGCTTTTGTTCACAGATAAGATTCGATAAAGAATAGAAATATCCTCCAATTACCATCAGACACGTTTGTACTTGAATATTCGAGGTTACCGTTTGCTCGAGCAAACTTTTCTGAATAATCGTTCAATATAAAAGTGGTGATTTTGTTATACCACAAAGCAGACAGTTAAAGCTAGATCGTAATACAGTTCAAATTTTCTCTTTTGCTAAAATAAAAACTGAGCTCTTTGATTTTAGTTAACAACTTTTTTGGCTATACATTTTTCTACGTTTGTTTTTAAACAAACAATGGAACGTTCAAAAAGCAGACTCTAGTACGACCTAAGTTTGAATGTATTGTACAATTTAAAAACCAGTTCGACATGTTAGCTCGAATTCTCATATTGAAAACTTTGCTCCAGTAAAAAGTATTTTTGAGCAATCAATTTACTATAATTTATCAGTATCTTGGATAAAAATAACAAAAAAAATTATTCTTGAGTGGGAAAGGTGCTTAAGATATTTAATAAAAATGACAAATTATGCATCTGAAGAAAGAAAAACAAGTGATTATTATTTCGTAATAACTCATTCTAATACTCTCAGTCTTCATGTTTCTACTTTATATTATCAAATTCTTCATATATTAAGAAATTGTTGTCTTTATAGCTATTCATAATCGAATATGAAAATGACACCACACAAATCCGTGTAATACAAAAGTAGTTAGAACAATAAGATAGGTTTTTATTTTACCAAACTATTCCTTGATGTATACAAATAGATACAAGAATAATATCTTCTGAATTCCATTCATTAAAATTTCATGCAGTGAATATTTTTTAAAATATGCCATTGATGAGTTGTCGGCTTTTTTTTCTGTAGAAAAAGTCAAACGTAAAGTTTCCATTAATTTATCATCTATATTTGGAATGAAAACTCATGCTAGCATTTAGCAAGTAGTTTCTGCAATGATGACTAAGATGAAAAACTTTGTTCATTAGTTCAATTGTTTTTTTTGGAAAGTTAATGTAGAACTTGTTTCAATTTAACATTTTTCTAACTTTTCGAAACTATCTTGCAAACAGTGATGAGCTCGCTTCGAATTTTTCAAAATTTAAATTGAATCAAACTTAAATGAGCAAAAAGCTATACTTCTGTAATAATATCGTCTGTGTATCAGAAGATCTCACTATAACCGAAACTCTCTCAAAGGAATGATGTCTTCGATATAATAGAAGATTTTCTCTTATTTATTTAATTAAGAAATTGTATACTTAAACAAAAAATGCCTCTGAAATATGCCTAGTTGTCAAGATTCTCATCAGAAAATTGGTAAAGACTGAAGTTAAAACTATTTATATGTCTTATTAATCGTAAAATATCCTTTTCGATACTTAAAACGATAAGATTTTTCTTGGAAATCGTTTTAATTATTAGTTACTGAGAAAAAAAAGGAATCTAACAGAAGGCTAATCTGGAACATTTATCCGCTCGGACATAACAGTATACATAGGATCTTTCATGATAAGGCGTGGAGGGACGTTATGATGATGGCATAGATGATGAATAATGAAGCATGGATTTGTCATAGTCATCATATGATCAATATAAAAAATGTGAACTGATCAAGTTATAAATTCAGGAATTAATATTAAGATTTTATAAGTTTATTCAGATATATAATAATACGTTGAGATCTGCTGTATATGTATAAAAGGTTTATTAAACAATGAAATCAAAAATTAGAATAATAATAATAATAATAAGACTAAATTAAGCAAAACAGAAAAATAACGAGCGAATAGCAATAAGATAAACCAAAACCAAAGCCCTAGTAAAAATAAACTTTATTCAAAGTATAGAAATAAATAAATCAAATCGTTTCTCTCGAGATAGATTATTGTTGGAGAGCAAGTATAGTCTGTGAGAGATTTTTCACTTGGCGTTATGTTTTACTCATCCATCTTACTTTACAAATAAAAATACTGATCTGAACTGTATTAATTTGTCTAAGATTCAAACCAAATCGAGTTGTGTCCATCTTTACTTGAGAATGAATAAGATCATACAGATCGTAGTATCAAAGTTGTTATAGAAATTATATGACTGATTTGTTTATCAAGTTGTATGAAAGATACAATCTGTAGCTGTGTCGTGTAACTTGTTATAAGGAATAAAGAGATCGTTATCTAAAATTCGGCATGTCTATTTTGATGCCTTATTCGACTAATTTGATAGTCGAATAATATTTTAATTATTCAAGGTACTTTTTATGTAGAACAACATGGAAAACTGTAATCTATAGTAATATGATGTTGATAGATCATATTCTTGCTGTTTTCTTTTCTATTACTATGTGAAAGTCTTTATTAAAACTACAATTTTAGATAAAATTATATCTTTTGTTTTAGCTGAATGAATTGCTCCTATGTTTTTGAAATTTTGATTTACATTCAAAATCGACTTTACTACTTATGTAATCATGAAACGTTTCTAGGGTACGTCTAAATGCGTTTTTTTTCTTTTTCTTGCAAATGATGCCACCTAAGCATATCTCACATATAAATAGCCTTGAAACGCGCTTAAAATACGCTTATTGTAATTTTTTTAATAACGTGTTTCACGCCATATGCGCATATTCAAACAAGGCACTAGAATCTGTTGACAACCTCAAGTTAAATATGATAGAACGTTCTCCATCGAAGACACGCAATCACATAGTCTTATTATGTACGTTCTTTGACGCTCTTAATTTTCAGTTACGCATCTCAATGCAGTTTGTTATTTCTTATTACATTGCGAGTATACATTTGAATTCGTTTATCACTTTGAATGTATCTGTTGTCTCATCGAGGTAAATAAAAATAGTGTTTGTCATCTCAATAGTTTCTTTTAATAATGAAGACTTATAAAATGTAGTTTACTACTTGTTGTGTGAAACAAATAAGAATAGATAGCTATACATTAGAAAACTTCTGATCGTCTTTGTTGATCTTTCATTTTAATAAATATATTAAGTGCGTACAATGTAAATTTTGAGTGGATTTTCATTCTTGTTCATTTATATTTCGTTTGATAGACGTTGATAAGTTGATCACAAATAAATAGTTTTTCGATTCAATTACTGTTTGGCTGAAAAAAAAAACATGAATGACTAAAAATGTATCATTGATAAATATAAACTAGTGTTTGTTGCAGAAATTATCAAATTTTTAATTACGTTATTATCTTGAATTGTATGAAACAATTTTCTTCTGATTTATTTTTAATGAGATTAAAAAAATTCTTTCCGATAAAGATATAAATATGCAACATGCTTTGTAGCAGGAAATTATGTATATTCTTGTAAATCTATCTAGTTTTTTAAGTAACAAGAGATAGAAACTATTATTTTACTTCATTGAGAATACATCAAATTATGAACTACAAAATTATCGATTTTTATTTTATTTTTAATTATGAGTCATGGCAATAAAAATCGTTAAAAATAAATGTATTTTTCATTATTTCATCTGATTTTGTCCTCAAATGAGGACAAAATTTAATTTTCTCAATAATAAAACAAAAGTAATAATAACTAAATATGTATTTGTGTAGGTCAAAATCTGATGTATTCAAATGAGGTAAAACAATAGCTTCTATATCTTGTTATTAAAAAAACTAGATAGGCTTACAAAAAAATATACACAAATCCTTACTATGATACGTGTTAGAGATTAGGAAACCTGATTAACTTTAAATCTACTCAGATTTTGATGCAAATTAGAAGAAAATGTTTTGATAAAATTCAAGAAACTAACGTTATTAGAATTTGATAATTTCTGTAAAAAAAAAAACGCGAGTTCATATTTATCAATGGTACACCTTTAGTCATTTGAGTTCTTTCAGATAAACAGCGATTGAATCAAAATAAAAACTATATATTGGTAACTAGCTAATCAAACTCTACCAAATTCAATATAAATGAACAAGAAAAAAAATCCACTCGAATTTTACATTATACGCACGTTAATTACTATGTTAAATCAGAAAATATGTGAAGCCGTATCTGATTTTGACATGTATAGAATATTGATTCATTAACAATGTTGGGACTTTATAATTTTAGTTCATATCAGCAGTGTTTTTTTTTTTATAGAACCAATTTTGTCCTTGCGCAGAGTATACATTAAATGTAAGAATAACTTCAAAGTAAAAAACAAAAGCATTTTCTTAGTTTTTCATGATTCATTATATAAGTTTTTCAATTCAGAAGAAGTTAGTATAATCAAGAAAAACTTCTTTCATGAACAAAATGTTACTTTTCATATTTATTTACTTCTATTTCCATTATCTTTGTTCATAAATAAGTTTTCTAGAAGTCATATGCGACTGACAATGATCAAGAATTATAATCGAAAAAAAAAAAATTAAAAAGAATTACTTAAGTTTAAACTTTGATTTTTAATTTAAAATTAAAACTGGAACACTCTATCTAATATCCACCCATCGTTGAATAATTAATTATTTTAAGAAAATTAGTCATATCTGAATATTATCATGTACTTATGATAAATTTGACTGACAAATGAAAAAGAAGGAAATATTTCTAAATTCACATAATTTCATAAACTTATTGTGATAGAAATATGGAAAATCTTCAAATACGTTCGTTCACCTCAAAATGTTGCATTTTGAAGGATGAAAAATCCATTATGATTCATAAGAGTCATGTGAGCATCTAGTCTGTTCTATAAATCTTCATGTCAATGTTTTTTTTCACCTGTTCTATTTTTATACTTTGTTCTTCATCATTTGATTTCTATTAAAACGGATATTTTTCTTTTTCTAATGCATCAACATAGAATATTAAAATTCTAAGACGGATTTACTTAGGTTTATGTCAAATTAATTTCATACAGATAAGATTTATCTTCTCAGATATTTCATAAATGAAAAAATATGTATTTAGAACAAAATAATGAAATATCATTTTAATTATTTCATTAGATGAAATTCAATGTAACAATAGAAGGATAATGTTAACAATGTAGTTCAAGTAGACTATATTATAAGTAACAATAAGCAACATATAACAAACAGAATCTTCTTGGCTTTTTTATTTGGCATATAAGGAAATGTTTTTTTCAGGCTTCAGATATCGATTCAATGTTTATTGACAGTGTTTAGGATCATCAGTAATTCCTAAGATATAATCTCAGATATTTATAGAATATGATTAACATATTAATGATATACAATATATTTTTCTCAACAAAATAATCTATGAACACTTTATTTTTTTTTTGTTCAGATCACATTGGAACATAAGAGTTACGAAGTAAAGAAATTCTAAAGATTACGCATTAAAAAAAAACCAAAAAATAAATATGAGTAATATCGTTACACGAGTACTTGAAACTAATATTTATATACAACCTATACATTTTCTTTTGGCCATTATTACAAATGTATTTAATATACGTATATTATGTTGTCGTGTACTTCTTTCATCACCATGTACATATTATTTTCTTGTCTATGCTATATTAAGTATTATTTATACTTGTTTATTGTGTCCAATACAATTTGTTCGTGGTTTTTCTATTAATTGGATAAATGGAAAAGTAACTTGTAAAATGCATGCTTATCTTTTATTTATATTACCACTTCAAGGTAATATTATGCTTATATTAGCTTCATTAGATCGTTATTGTTCAAGTTTAAAATTGCGTCGACTTCAATCAACAAATGCTAGTCGAATAGCACGAAGAAATATTTTATTTAGTACTCTATTTTCTTTATTCTATATGTTACCAATGTTATTTATTTATAATTGGGATGATAATTTAAGAAAATGTTCATCAAAATTGCATTATGCAATTAATATTTATATACTTAGTCAAGTTATTATTTATTATATATTATTTCCATTAATAATGATTTTATTTGGTATTTTAACAATTTATAATATTCGTCAAAAATCAAATCGTATAATATTATTTATTTCATGGATGCGACGACGTCGTCGTACAGAATGTCAATTAGCTCGAATGTTAATTCTTCAAGTTGTTGTTCATCTTATTTTTGTACTTCCATTCGGAATTATTTATAGTATCAATTCCATTGTACCATCTACACAAACGCCTACTATTCTAGCCATACGTTTAGTTTTTGTATCATGGCAACAATGTGATCATTTTATATCATTTTTTCTCTATATTCTTACTGCAAGTGTTTATCGACAACGATTTATTCGATTATTACAATCTATGAATTGTTTGAATAGAAGAGAGCAATAGTTTTCATAAAATTAGAAAAAGAAAAACAAAATAAGAAATATTCGAAATCAAAAACTTCATTATGTTAATATTGATATGCAATTTTTTGAATGTAAACTTATAAATAAATATTGAATAAAATTATAAATGTTATGTATAATATGATTCCGTATTTTCATAAGTGTTTTTGTGATTTACAGTAATAATTTTTGATATTGAATTTTTATTTAATATTAAATTTGAAGAAAGATTTTCGATGTAAGTGAAGATGATGGATCATATTTGAGTTGAAATATCATGTTATATTTTCATAGCATGTCTAAATCTTGATAATCACATTTCAATGAATGATTCCAATGCCTAGATCCGTATATTTCTGCTGGAAACTAATATTAAACACGGAGTTCTCAGTCGAAAAATGATAAGAACTTGAAGTAAATATCCGATGATGGTATCCGATTTCGGGCTATAAATTGACGGAATATGTCGAAAAGGAAAACGTAGAAGATGAAGATACCGAAGGGTTAGAGTGAATAGAAAAATAAGATAAAAATCTGTTTGTAGTTTTAATAGTTTTTCTTGTCTTCCACATATTTACATAAAATATCTCAATATTATTTCTTAATCAGAAAACTTTCTTTTTCGATATTTTGCCCTTCAAAGTTTGCTTACAAATCCACCGAATCTGTTCGAGTTATGGTCGACTATAGCCAGAACTAGGATGATTATAAGTCTAGTAAAGACTTACTCATAGTTCACATTTTCTTGTCTAATTGGAAAATTGTTTCAATTCAGTATTATACTGATTTCGATATCTTATCAAAGGTTAATTCTACTTGAGTTGAATACATTACGTTTATGTAAAAAAAAATTGTTTCACATGTAAGATGTACATTGTTTGAATGTACTGATAGAGCATATATTAAGCGAGATAACATTCAGAATGATAATTACGGCTATGCATATTTTTTGCTATGATGGCTGTGTACGATTATTAACGAAAATTAAACGAACTATATTTTCTCGTAATTCCTATTAGTAATTCAGGTCATGTATGCACGCTTGTAAACGATCATTTTAAACGTTTTTTTTCTCGCCGCTTGGTAATCACATTGTGCACAACATAATAAAATACAATCGTCAGGTTGCAATTCTCAATTTACAGCTATTGATGACCGCAAACTATATGAAACGATCATATACTGTTCTGTATTTGGATGTCTCGGCGACTGTAATTATCGTAACAGGATAATACAACACAATAAACGATATTATATTTTTGTTGTATATGTCTCGTAATTTCATTATGTCACCGCCAGATTTCATCGACTAACAGTACGACTCGTTCACGTACCGTATTCATCAGTCTGTATATTTAGAACAATTAAGTAAACACAGAGAAAAGATCAGATTGTGAAAGAAGGAATACAATATTCGTATTCGGTTCTAGTCACTTCGGATGAAAAACAACAAAATCCAGTTATCGTGTTCGATTATCAAACTCAACAGCTTGAAATTCGTATAACTTAATTCAGATTTGTCATAAATATCTTGTATTTTAATTATTTAAGTTTGACAATGAAAGTGATTATTCTGATCTGAATATGATCAATCATCTCTCGACTTATAATACAAATCTTATCATTGTTACAATAAGTTTTATTGTAAAAAAAAATCATCAAAAGTATATGATATCGTGTAAAATGATGTTTGAAATTAATCCAGTAGTTTATCAATGCGATTTATTAATCGATGAATCAGTACATTAAAAAGATATTCCCAATTGAATTACTACATATTCGAAAAATGATTAAAAAGAAAATTTTTTTGATCAAGGAACACTTAAAGCCAATATATTTAATCTTCTACGAACTGTTTGATATAATCATTCTTTTTTCTGATACCCATTTCACAACAATATATAGTCATTGAAAATGAGGAATGTATTCAAATAGATGAGATGATTCTTGTAAACTACAATTTACATGTTCAACAGATAGATGTTTGAATAATCATAATTCAAATGATAATAGATAAGTTTTTGTAAACTACAAACTCTTAATCTGAAATGTGGATAATGATAATGTGAAATGTAGATGATCATCATGAATACGATTTTAAATGATTGAAGGAAATCGAAAATAAAATAAACGAAAAGTTCAGATGAATGTGAAGTTTCATTCGATCAATGATTAATATTCGATTTTATTCACAAAAAAAAAATATCAAAATCATGTTTTTATATCATCTAAAAATTTATATATCTTCAAAATTAACTTAGAATAAATTGATAAAAATGCCTATTGAGACTAAATAAACGTACGAAAACAAAAAAAAAATACATGAAAGTATTTAACAAGATTCAATACGAACTTGTTCAATAATATTTTCAACATCAATTTTCATGCCTATTACCTGCAATTCCACAAGAATATTCTAAAATACAGTCAACTCAATATCACAACAGTAATGATACGAATCAATTTTTTTCGTCACTACATTACCAATAAAAAAAAAATATCTCAGACTACTATTTCAAAGATCATTGTAACTTTAAGAAAAAAAAACACCTATGATTTCTGTCAAAGAGTTTGTTCCATAGTAATTCTTTTACGATCCTACAAGAGATGTATTTTTTTTCTTTCATCAATCAGTCTCACTAGCTAGAAAAAATGAAACAAACTCGAATAATAAAAATGATGATAAAAAACCATAGAAATTTAAACAATAAACAAGAATGATATACAGTGCTTGGGTTTGTTATAATGATACCCTACAAAGTGTTTTTCTTCTTCAACAAAACAATCTTCCATTGGTCTAATTTTGTGTATAGTTTGAATGAGTAAGATTCGATGTAGGTCACCTAAGACTTATTTATAAGATATTATGAGAATAAGGTTACAATAAACTTTTGCTTCTAGCAAATTAAACTCAAAAAAATAACAACTATTCAACTGGTGTTTTTTTTTTGTTAGTTTGAATAGAACGTCAATGAGTAATCGAAGTAGATTAAAATAATTTGATTCATTGGCTATAACATGAATAGAGAAACTATTATATCTGAACAATTTTCAAAAATATGTTTAAAAGAAAAAAAATACATGCAAATTATTGAGATAAGACTCGTATTTTTTTTTTTTTTGTTATTAATGTTCAATCGATTAGAATGATGATTTTTGTAATATTTCTTTTTACGCAGATTTTTTCTTTGATTGAATATGTAAATCAATTTGTTTCTCATATGAAACTCTTCATTTACAAATATTATAATTATATTACTTGCTTTATATTTCTGTATTGCATTTATATTTTAATGAGGGAAAAAAAAACGAAAGGAAGCAGATATGATTGAAATATATAAAAAGCAGAGAAAAAAAAAATTTTATTTTATTTTCATTTGTTTACTTGCTAATCTAATAATCACATCAATAGGATTTATTTCATTTGAAACAATATTTCGAATAATGACAAAATTTTTTACACTTTTTCTTATATTATTTTTTGTTCAAATTATTAATGGAATTCATTTTTATGGTGGAACAATCAACTGGTCACCAGTAAATAATCATACAGTTGAAATAAATGACACACTAACAATTGTTATTGTACAACGATATGCATGGTCAAGAAACACTAGAACTAGTGCATGTACAACATCAACAATTTTATCACATGAGTTAATTGGAGATGTTTCAAATAATATTCTCACTTGTTTATCTGATTCAACAATATGTTCAAAAACTAATTTTACTGGCAATATTTCAAGTTTAGTTCCATGTACTGATTATAATACTATGTTAGACATATCTTTTGGTAGTAGACAAACATCGGTAGATTTTAATGTGTTAACGAATGGTCTTATTATTGGTTACAAATCTTCGAATGATGGTTGGATACCTTTACAATTAGGTGGTGGTCATTGGAGTTTAGTTATGTATCTTAATTTACAAAAACGTCCAGATAATGGTTTGGTAAATCATTCACCAACATCAACAATGCCAATAGTAAATTATGTATCGATTACTGACAATACAATAATATCTATTAATATACCGATGAGTGATAGTGATGGAGATATAATTCAATGTCGTTTTGCAAAATCAAATAATATATTAAATGGAATCCTTGTAAATGAATGTCATGGTGCTTGTTCTACTATTGCACTTCCACCATCAGCACAACTGATTTCAATCAATAATACATGCACACTTCATGTCACTCTATCATCTCCTGGCAATTATGTAGTAGCAATTCAATTAGAAGATTTTCTAGAAAATTCTACTTATATACTCAGTTCAATACCATTGCAATTTATTTTAATAGCAGTTGACACTTCAAATTCATCCAATAATTGTTATCTTCCACCGACTATTATCGATATTCAACCTGATTCTCCTCCACATGATTCTACCATAACCATTCAAATGAATGTTCCATATAAGTTTACTGTTATTGCTCAAATAGGTTGTTTCAATAATACAGAAATAAATATTACAAATTTTATAACATCAAGTCCACACGGTATGCTCAAAGCAGAATATCCATATGCATTATCATCAACATTGTATGCTATTGATCATACGTGGACGCCAACAAGTGATCAATTATATCAGACATTTACTTTTTGTACTATAGCTATTGATAATAATTTTTATTCATCAAATCAATATTGTTTCAATTTATTTGTTGATTATAAAATTAACGTAAGATCATATGAATCAATCACATTTAATCCAAAATTAGCAATAAGAATTTCACAGAAACGACAAGTATTGCAACCGCGATCGGGCATACTAGAAACAACAACCACAACAACAACTACAACAACGACAACAGATACTACAACAACAGACACAACAACTATAACAACAGAAACAACAACAACAACAGAAACAACAACTACAACAACAGAAACAACAACAACAACAGAAACAACAACAACAACAGAAACAACAACTACAACAACAACAACAGAAACAACAACTACAACAACAACAACAGAAACAACAACTACAACTACA